CCACATCTCACCCACCAGCTCTGTCGACGGGAAAGCGCAGCGGAACAAGAGCAGGGCCCGCAGGCATCTGTCCTCAGTCACAACAACGTCACACCGCGGACTGGGCGCCGTCCATGCTCCAAGCTCTGGGCCTTGTCCCCGTTACCGATGAAGACACTGAAGCTCAGAGAGACTAAGCTAGTGAGTGGCAGAGCGAGGCTCAAACTCGGCTTTTCTCTCTGCTTCCAGGCCCCCGAAGTCTCATCTCAGTTCCCTGAGGCCGCCCCTCGGACCATGAGACTGAAATCCAATAGCAGGAAGGACGGGGACACAGGAAAGAAGAAGGGGAGAGTAGCACAAGGACCGGAAGAAGCTGGGGCCCAGGGGGAGGTGCACACGGGACTGGCTGTGGGTCCAGGAGGGCGTCCAGAGCGGGAATGAAGCAGGAAAGTGCTGGTGACCGCCAGAGAAATGAGCCGCAAAATATGCAGAAGCCATTTCCTCTCCCAAGGAAGATAAACAATAGATTCATAAACAAATTTCACAAAGCTGTCCAACTATTTAATGCGTTCTGGTAGGAACTCGTATCCTTTGTGAGCAAAAAGTGAGTCTCCTAAAATGTGGTCAGTAATGATTCGGGGGAAAGGAGATAGGAAAGGGACACTCCTTCCCAGCCTGGCACCTGCGGCCAGTGACAGGTGCTCTCTGCGCCTGGGTTTGCTCTCCCGTGAACAAGGAATAGTCGTTTCTGCCCCCCAGGGCCACGCTGGAGAGAGGAATAAAAAAGATACACTTTTCGGCCAGATACCCTACTTGACCTTCCCAATGGACGCAAATAAAACGCTGGGTAACATTTAAAATATAAAACTGTACACACATTGCTGAGCTGGCACAAATGGAAGGATTCTTCAAAGACCAAAAACAAACCGAAAGCAGGAGCCCTGGGAGGCCATCCTGAAGCAAAGCTGGCTCTTGTCCTGAGGTTCCTAGACATTCAAGTTTCCCAGGGGAGCTGCTCCCCGCCGTGAATGAGACAAAGCACAACACGGAGGGAGCTGCAAGGAAAGCTGGCATTGGGCCGGGAGGGCCTGGGGAAGTCTTCAGTGAAAATGTGCACCGAAAGCCAAACTTCACAGTTTTGCAGTTTGAATTCAGGCCACTTCTGTAGCCAGAAAAGCCACGGGTAAAAAATCAAAGTGATTTTTGGTGGGTGGTGCCCCTAGATCAGTGGTCGGCAAACTGCGGCTCTTTGGCCCCTTGAGTGTGACTCTTCCACAAAATACCACGTGCGGGCGCGCACGTACAGTGTGATTGAAACTTCGTGGCTCATGCGCAGAAGTTGGTATTTTGTGGAAGAGCCGGTATTCTGTGGAAGAGCCACACTCAAGGGGCCAAAGAGCCGCCCGCATGTGGCTCACGAGCCGCAGTTTGCCAACCACTGCCCTAGATGACTAGCAGAAGTTAATGCAAATCCTCTCTGGAAAAGTCAGTGTCAACCTGGACCTCAAAGAATTCTCAAAGATAAAGTTGCAATGAAATGAGCAGCTCACAGAGACGACGGAAGACAGCGAGGAGGCAGGCACAACAGCGCACAATCAGGCCTGTAGAGATGGCAGACTCCGGAATTACCCGACATGGACTCCTACAATTTTCCAACAGCTACTTCAATATGTTAGAGAAATAGAGAAAGAAGTGTGCAATACGAACAAGAAATAAGAGAGCAGAAAATCACCAAGCAGATTTGAAAAATAATGGACCAGAACTTCTAGAAATAAAAAAAAAGGAGCTGAAAGGAAAAAATTCAATGGATGAATTAAATAGCATTTGAGACACAGAATAAATTCGTCAAATGGAAGACAAGTTTGAAGAAATTATTCAGAGTTTACAGAAAGACAGAGATTTAAAATATGAAATAAAGGGTAAGAGGCATAGGGAATAGAATGAGAAGGTCTACCATACGTCTAACTGGAGTTCCAGAAGGAGGTATTAGAAAGACGTGATATTCAAAGAAATGAAGGGTAAGAATGTTTCCAGAATCATTGGAAGATACCCATCTTCAGCTCTAGTAATCCCAACGAACACCAAGCAGAATAAAGACAGAGGAATTTACTCCTCCTTACTCCACAGGGAAGCTCCAGAACACCACAGAAAACAACCGTCTCTTGAACAAAACCAGAGAGAAACCCAGGTCAGATACAAAGGAACAGCAATCAGGCGGATGGCCAGTTTCTCAGCAGCAGCATTCAGAGCCAGGGCAGTGGACTAACGGCTTCAGTGACGTAAGAGAATATCCAGGAAAGCTACCTTTCAGAACCGAGAGCAAAATAAGGCATTTCAAGCCAACAAAAACAAAAAAACCCAAGCCAGACCAAAAGAAAAAAAAGCGAGACTTTACTACCACAGCGTCTCACTAAAGCAGTGACGGCGAACCTTTTGAGCTCGGCGTGTCAGCATTTTGAAAAACCCTAACTTAACTCTGGTGCCATGTCACATATAGAAATTTTTTGATCTTTGCAACCATAGTGAAACAAAGATTTATAGTTTTGATATTTATTTTATATATTTAAATGCCATTTAACAAAGAAAAATCAACCAAAAAAAATGAGTTCGCGTGTCATAGGTTCGCCATCACTGCATTAAAAGACGATGCTAATAGATTTATATTAGGAGGAAGGAACATGATCTCGGACTCATGAAAGAATGGTGACAAAAGTATGAAACAATGATGTCTCACTTGTAGGTGAAAACAGGGTAGAATAAAATCCCGGGCTAATAACTCTGTACACACTGGGAGAGGCAGTGGCTAGGAGTGAACCATTTACGGTTCTTGCATTGTTTGCGAGGAAGGTAAAGACACCAATTAATTTTAGACTTTGTCACGTACGCCTGTTAAAATAGATGGGTAGCCACGGAAAGAATAGATACAGAGCATATAACTTCCAAATAAGAAGATAAGGTGGGGTGGGTGGAGGGCAAACGGAGGGGAGTAAGAGGACACCTGCAATCATGTCAACATTGAAATTTTTTTAAAATGATAGAATCTCTAAAAAAACTCACTCTCATTTCGGAAAATGCAAAACACACTTAAATATACATGTCCAGACAGATGAATACTTACTGCATTTTTTAAATGGAAAATAAATGAGTACATGATTCTGGGGGAAAAGAATAGAATAAGAGGTGAAAATATCTCAAGCAAAAAGAAAAATCAGAAAACATGGAAAGTATGTAAAGATGGTAGAAATGACTCCCAATTCACCAATAAGATATATACTGAGTCTAAACATCTGTGCACCAAATTGCCTTAAAATACATAAAGCACAATTTTCAGAACTGCGAGGAGAAATTGACAAATCCAGTGAGAGATTTTCAACACGTTTCCCTTAATAATTGATAAATTAATCAGACGAAATCAGAAAGGAACACATTATAGATGAGCTGAACAGTACAGTGAACTAACTTAGATGCTCATATCTAGAAAAATATATTCCATAATTACAGAATACTCATGCTTTCCATTCATAAAACATTTAAGAAAAAAAATTGGAAAGAGACAAAATATAAAAAAGGAACACACAGAAGTGGCTTAAAGCTTACTTCAAACTCTCTCGAAGGATCCTATTTTGTCTTAAAAAAAGACAGAGGCGTTGTCTTGCTCACTCATGCATCTAGAGTCTAGCACAGTGACGGTCACAGAGGAAGCTCAACGGGCACAGTAAGTCCGCACGTAACGTCATTGACAGGTTCTTCGACCTCAAGTGAAACGAAGTAAAACGAAACCGATTTTGCCAGAGGCGAGTTAATATAAACAAGAGTTAAGTTACTACAGCATCTCAGCAAGATTATACTGGAAAGGTGTTAAAGGAAGTGACGTTATTCGAGGACCAGCTGTACCCATGACTAGTGAGTGAAGGGCTCTCTCTGAAGAGCAGCCAGGGTTAAGTGAGCAACCGCAGGTAATGAAATCCTTCCCCACACAGAGGACAAGGTGAGTGGCGTCAGCCTCTGGGGAGAATTTATACAAAAAAGGGAAGCAGAGCCAGGACAGCCATCTTCAAACCGGAAGAGGGAGTCCTGTGGAAGGGTGTCTGAAAGCTGGTCTTTGTGGTCCACATGGCAGAGCAGAGATGGAGAACGTACGGAGAGAAAGAATTTGTCCCAGTGTGCTCTCTCTTCCACCGTCAAGGCTTGTGTCACACTCCCTCTTTCTCCTAAGTTCCAAAGGCCCTTCTCCTACTTCTGTAACTTTCTAAATAAACTTTCCCTTATCATTAAAAAAAGAAAAGGAAAAAGAAATTGTCCCAATATTAGGAAGAACTTTCGAACAATTCACTGTTCATCATTGGCTGGGCATTGGCCTGGCTGATCCTCTAAGGCCCCTCACAGCCTTGCGTGGGACAGGAGTTTCTGTCCAGAACGTTCTAGGAGGCCCAGACCACAGACTGACCGTCCTTCCAATGCCATCCTATTCCAGAGATCCCTTCACCCCAAATTCCCTGGATCCCCAGTCCCTAAAAGACCTGCCAAGATCCCAGTTCAGGAGGTAGGGGAGGAATAATGAGAGCTTCAGTCCCTGGAAACTCAATTCAGGGTCCTGCCTGCTCACCATTGGCCCCTCCATTAACCAAAATGAGCACATTCTGTCGAATTAGGCTGACACCCACTTCCTTTCTCTTGTTTGTTTGTTTTAAAATATATTTTTATTGGTTTCAGAGAGGAAGGGAGAGGGGGAGAGAGCTAGAAACACCAATGATGAGACAGAATCATTGATCAGCTGTCTCCTGCATGCCCCCTACAGGGGATCGAGCCACAAACCTGGCATGTGTCCAGACTAGAAATCGAACTATGACCTCCTGGTTCATTGGTCGATGCTCAACCACTGAGCCACACTGGCCGGGCATGACACCCACAAGTCCCTGGAGACTCATTTTTCCCCACAGATGGGGAAAGATGACAAAAGTGCATAGAATAAGTTACGACGGACATTCCTACACCTTCCGGGAGAAGGGACGCAAGCTCACCTCGCCCTCCGCAGCAGATGGTCGAGTTGGGGGCCTGGCTCTGGGGGCTCCTCCTGCAGCTGGCCGGTCATGCTGCTCTCATGCTGCTGGGCAGGTGGGAAGAGGAGACCTGGTTCTGTGGGGAAAAGAGGAGGAGAGGTCACGTCTTCATCGCCTGCTCCCAGCTTTCCATCGCCAGCCCCAGCGGTCACTACCCAGACGCCCTGGGACTTCCCGAGGATGGCCTCGCCACTCTCGGGTCACGGGGCACAGACAGGCCTACGCTGGACAATGTTTCCCACGCCCTCCATGTGCCAGGCAGGGCTCTAAGGATGAGGCTATGAAGATGAACCACACACAGTCCCTACTCTCAAGAAGCTGTCTAGCAAGACTAGTTTTCATTGCAGTATAATGCGGCAAGTGCTGCGATTTCCCCAAATTCACTCCACAGCCCACCGTCCCTCAGGGGAGGAGGGCAGAGGCAGCTTACAAGTCGGCAGCACAGGGCTTCTCAAACTACTGTATTTGTGATGAAGGACCAGTTGTCTTTAAGTTCCAACTCATCACAAATGAATACTTTTAAATAATTTTTTTTATAAAAATATATTTTATTGATTTTTTACAGAGAAAAAGGGAGAGGGATAGAGTGTTAGAAACATCGATGAGAGAGAAACATTGATCAGCTGCCTCCTGCACACCCGCTACTGGGGATGTGCCCAAAACCAAGGTACATGCCCTTGACCGGAATCAAACCTGGGGTCCTTCAGTCTTCAGGCTGACACTCTATCCACTGAGTCAAACCAGCTAGGGCAAAATGAATACTTTTATAAAACACTAGAGGCCTGGTGCACAAATTTGTGCATGGATGAGGTCTTGCAGACCCTGCCCCCCATCGGGGGGAGGGGAGACAATCCGGGGTGGGGCCAGCTGGTGGGGAGAGGCTGTGGAAGGTTGGCTGGCTGGCCCTGCCCCCTGGTCAAACTCCCAGTCCAACTCGATATCGAGGGGACAATTTTCATATTAGCCTTTTATTATATAGGATAATGAAAATGAACTACGAGATAAACAAAATGAAAAATATTCAAAGTACAAGCCTACTTTTTAATTGTTCGATTCAATGAATGACTCTGTAGTATCTGTACTTTATTATGGACCCGTGACGTTTGCAGGCCAGCGCCATGCCACGAACCACAGTTGCGTAGCATCACTAGAATAAGAGTTTATAGAGTGCAACTTCTCCTGAGCTGTGTGGCTGACCTTGGTTCACAGAGCGTGGCTGGAAAGAAAAATGTCAAACTCGCCCTGTGGACTAGCCGTCAGAGAGTTCGGCGAGTCTCTCCGGGAAGAAGAGCTGCGGCAGGGACTTTGGGAGAGTGTGTGCTTGGGGTGATGGACAGAGGCAGTGGGTCCAGGGAACACGAGCAGGAAGCCCACGGGCCCTGGTCACAGTGGTGCCTGCAGCCCTGTCCTGCTCCATCCGGGACTTCCAACCCTCTGTGACAAGCCCGGCCTGAAAGCAGATCATTTCCAAAGTGTCAGGGCAGCTGCTGGTGCTCGTACCTCCTATTTAATGCTATAAAAATACATATTTTTTTTTAACTTGAGAAATCCTTTGTCTGTGACAGCCAGTTCCAAAAAAAGCCTGTGAGTGCCTGTTGCCTTAATACTTAAGGAAGTGATTACAAGTCATTTTCACCCATTTGAATGTTTAAGAGAAAGTACTCCTCTAAGCTCTCAGCTTTTAAGTAGTTCTTATTTTAAGCTTTATAAGGAAATAACTCTGCCGAAGAAAAATTCTTTTCAAAGTCCTTTTTTTAAAAAATGCAAACACACACACACACTCTCACTCCCGGCTTCAAATGCTAAATCATCTGCAATTTGGGAGTTTGTTGCTCATGAAATTCAGGCGATAAGCACATCATAAGCATTCCTACAGCGACAGAATGCTTTTGAAGCCCTGTCTGTGATGTTACAAAGATTGTATATGATTATCTCTGAATGTTGGCCAAGAGAAGGTTATGGAAATAACTATTTATGTACAAATAAGTCAATATAGTAACTGGCAACCTGAATAGCAGACCACGACATGGTGGGAAGCAGTAATGCAGTTCCCTGCGCGCCCATGAATAACTGTGCTGTCCGTACTGGCAGCCTGGGAAAGTAGCTCTCCAAGGTCCCCCACAGCAGCTCCTGTCCTTGGATCTAATCTCAAGGGTGAGTGTTAAGCTTCGTCACCTTGTATTGGCCATCTGTTGTATGCCAGGTGCTGCGCTAGGCCGTAGGGGTCTCAAGATGCCCCAAAGAGACATAGAAACAGGTCATTACGGCCCCCCACCCCTGCTAAGAAGAGTCTTTGGGCTGGAGTTAAGGAAAAGGATTGGAAGGTAACGAGCTCAATCCACCTATCCAACCAACCGCTCGTCCATGCCATGTTGACTGAGAGGCTAGTACGTACCAGGCAAGTACAAGGCGCTGGGCGTACAACCGTCAAGACCAATGCGGCCACTGCCTTCGTGGAGCTTATAGTCTAGTGGGGGAAACGAACATTTACAGATTAAAGAGGACTGGAACTACAATAGTGATCTGCCCTAAAAAAAAAAGGCTACTGCTATAGTAACACATGACAGATCAAGCACAGAAAAGGGCTAGTGGTCTTTCCTAAGGAATCAGTCTTTAATCTAAGCCCCAAGAATAAGTGAGTGAAACAAAATAGGGAGGGCAGCAGAGAACCTGGGCAAAGGTCCTGAGACCAGAAGCACGGTCCGTGCCAGCCCTGAAAGGAGGTTTAATAGGATCAGGTAGGTTCTGGACCTTAGACCACGTTTCCATCACCGTTGTCTTCAGGGCAAGCATTAACGACATGCGGGTTCTTTAAGAAGTGCTTAGGACGATGCCAGGAAAATGAGGTGCCTATCTGCTCAATTCCCCTCGTCCTAGGCTGGCATCTGCTTTAGAACAAGTGCTGGGACCCATCGATGTTCTCGTCAACAGCAGGAACTTGGCTAAACCCACTGGGCCCGTGGTAAACGGGTGGTCAGTGCGGACCTAAGGCTGACCGTGAGTGTGGGTTTGGGGATGCGGGCGAGCATCCTATCATTAAGCTCATTGCGGGAGACGCCTCAGGATGGCTGTGACTCAATAGGTCATACAGTTTGATGCACAGAACATTAAACCTGGGCTCAAATCTGGCCCCCCTCACTGGCCATTCTTCTGTAGGATGGGGCTAGCAGGGCCCTCCCTGTATGGCCCCCGGCCCGCAGCAAGCACGTCGGACCCACATGGAGCTCACTGCCCGGATCCCAGGAGGCCTTGCACATGGGGCCGCATCACTATCACCTCACGCCAGTGGTGGGGACAGCCATGCCTCGCCCTGGACTGGAATGTCAGCAGAAATCCATGAAATGATTTCCCATCCAGTCAGGGGCTGCAGGGCAGCTTTGCAAGGGCACAGGGGGCAGCCTCACTGACCAGGGGGCCTGGAGATTCACCATTTCTTGGTGTGTGTGTGTGCCCTTAAGGGTCCCCAACTCTGCAGCAGCGCTGTCCCTACCGAGTCACACCTCAGTGTTCCCAGGTTCAATCTCCCCAGAGGAATCCCAATGCCACCCCTGGGGACTTATGGGTAGTTCCCCCAGGAGCCAGCCTGGCAGCCAGCAGAGTCCTAGTTCTGGCTCCATCAGGAATGACAGGGGTTCCCTTGGACAAATAGCCGAGTCCCAGATGACAGAGGAGATGTAACAGCTACATACAGGCCCGGCGTATATGACTTCATAGACAGTTACAAGCCCTGCTAGGGCATCAGCAATGTCTGATAAAAAACAACCACCCAGGGCTATATTTTTATTGGAGAGAGAGAGAGAGAGAGGAAGAGAGGGAGAGAGAGAGAGAGAGAGAGAGAGAGAGAAACATTGATGAGAGAAACACTGATCAATCGCTTTCCGTACACGCCCTGACTGGGAATCGAACCCAAAACCTAGGTATGTGCCCTGACCAGGAATCGAACCTGGAACCTTTTTGGTGTACAGGACGACACTCTAACCCCCTGAGCCACCCGGACGAGGCAATGTCTGCTTTTTCTCACCACTGGGTCCATGGGCTAGCAGAGCAGCCCGCAGACCTGACTGCACAGAGTTAAGACAATCCTCAGGTGAGGAAACTGAGGCCCGCTGCCTTATCCAGGGCCACAAACCCAAGTGGTGGGGCTGCAGGACAAACATCTTACTTATCTCTTTCCCACAGGACCATCGAGGACACAGCCCCGGAAGGACCCACAGCCGGTAAGCCACCAGGGAAGGCCAGAGTCTCCCCACTGCCCCACACTGCTGTCCGGGCCCCAGTTTCCCTTCTGCACACTGGTGGCGACCTAGGCTGCCTTCCACACCACACTGCTTGTCCGAGTTTAGGGGGAAGTGAAGATTTGGGAGTCTTGGGGAGGGGAACAATCAATATCCAGAAAGGAACACTCCACATGGGTATTGAGGGGCCCAAACCAAAGAGGAAGGGTTCTCCGCAGCCACAGGGCAGTTTTAATGAAAAGAATAGCTCACAGGTCACCAGGCGGAGGCGAGGCGAGGGCAGAGTCAGGGGAGGGAGGGGATGTGAGACGTAAACCGTGGAGCTCCTAAGATGGGGAGCAGGACCAAATGAAGTGTGAAGCATTCCCCATGCCACCCACAGTCCATTAGAAGTTGGCACGGACTGTTAACAGCAGGAAAAGGAGGAGGGAGAAGAGAAGGAAAACCAGGAGGAGGGGGAGGACCGGGAGCTGGAGGAGGAGGAGTTACATCTGTAGATTTAATCCAAGAACACCAAGCAACCGTGGGGGGAGTAAACAATGCAAGGAGGAATCTGAGACGGCAGTCCCTCGGGGGCCAGCCATTCTGTCCCACGAGTCCTCCTATGTAGGGGGACTTTATAGATGTGGGGGAAACTCCCATCTCATCTCCAGTTCTTTAGAAGAGGAGATTCCTGCCCAGACGATTCAGAGATATGAGCAGATCACTTAGGCCTTTTTGCAGCTGAGTACTCCAGAGCACAGAAGCCGGGCCATTCACGTCAGTATCAGAGCAGCCCACACTTGTGAGCCTATCAGATGGGCTCATTGTAGGCTGACAGAGGATGGCAGGCCACCATCCA